CACTCTGCCTCTTCTCCCACCTGCAGCCTTGGAAGTCGGACGTTTTTTTCAAGTTTGTTATTTATTTTATCAAGTATTTGGTGAGTAAAATTATTTTATCATGTCTTCAATGGGCAAAACTTCGGTTGTCATTCTTGGTCATTCAATTGTGCGTCGTTTTCACGAATTCTTGAAACATGGTGATGACATTAGATATTCTGCAAATCTTGGTCTGGGAAAAACGCATTCCGTTTTGTAAAGGGGTGTGGGTGGAAGAAAGGTTCGTGATATAATATCTAAGGATATGGAGAGTGTATTTGCTTTAGGTCCTGAGGTAGTTGTTCTAATGATCGGGGAGAACGACATCGTTCCCAGTACAGATCCTACATTGTTGGCCGCAGAAATTGAAACTGTGATATCGGTGATGCATCGCCACTATAATGTTGCGGAAATAATTGTTTGCAAATTATTGCCAAGATTTAAGGTTAATTTGGGGTACAATGATGTAGCAGACAAAGTGAATTCAATACTGAGAGATGCATTGCCATCACTAGGTTATTGTGTTTAAGATTTTAATTTTACGGTACTCTAGGCAAGGCCTAAGTACAAGTTTCAGGCAGTCATTGTACTTGCCTGTTTGTACCCGCTTTGATTTTTGTTTCAGTTCCTCAATTATCCTTTTTTCTGTGAAGAAATCGTTCGGAAAATGAATGTTTGCCTATTTGTTTGTTGAGGTATAATTGTTGATTACTTAAATTCCGTTCTGTACTTGCTGTCCCCTTTTGACATTCATGTATCATGCACACATGTTTTTGTTTCATCAATGATTCACGGTTTTATTGGTGTGCATCAGCAATTAGATTTATCGTTAAATATGCCTATCAAGTTACTCGTTGGAATTGTGGCTTAATAATAATAATAAAAGAAATAATAATATAAATACTGACCAGCAGCGGTTACAGAGAAGTTGATTAATCGCTTCTGCAGTCGCACAATGGGTGGTGTGATTGCTAGTACGGTAGTGCGGGAAATGTCGGTCTGTTTCAGAGCAATATTGGTTCCATTCTCTATTGTGATATTTCCGGGATAAATTTTGTCATCAACTGTAATAGGTACAGGGTGTAATTTAACGGAAAGTGACTGTTGGAAAAAGTTTCAGGTTAGACAACTTTCTCGTTTGTTTTATCAGATGTACACTTTGTATTCGATGCATTCAAATGGTTATACAATCATTACAATGTATTTTTAAGTATTAACTTATCACATGCGTGGTCAAGGTACCTATACATCTGAACTGACTCTTGCAATTCTGGTCAATTGACATTTAGACCTATATTACTTTGTATTCGATGCATTCAAATGGTTATATAATGTATTTTTAAGTATTAACATGCTCATATGCGTGGTCATAGTACCGGTATATCTGATCTGACTCATGCAGTTCCGGTCAATTGACATTAAGGCCTATTTTTTGTTAAATATTGGAAATGAACTTCTGCCTGAACTTTACAATTCTATCGGTTTACCAACATTATGCCAGGAAAAAGGAATAAATCCCAGCAGCCCAAAACAAGTCTGGCGAAAAGACCACGTCGTGGCCAAAAGGAAATAAGAGAGCCCACCACCACTGATGCTGTGGCAAGCGACACCAGGGTCCGCTGTCATAAAACATACTTAAGTCTGAGAATCTTCTCAAGTCTGATATTCTCAAATCCTAAATTCTCAGACTCAGCGGCCGTCATAAAAAAGTTGAGTAAAATAAAAATTCTCAAGCTCTGTTTTATTCTCAAATATTTGAGTTTACTATAAAGCAAACTTAAGTACATTCTCAAGCATTAAAAATGGCTGCCATGATCCAGCGTCGACGACGAAGGAGACAGAATCTGCTTGTTTTGAGGCGACCACGAGTATTTCGTGACCTAAGCAATCCTTTGGAGAGTCTAGAGGAGGAAGAGATTTTTCAGAGATAACGTTTTTCTCCGGGTAGCATTCTTCATATTGTAAATGGTGTCAGTGACGATCTTCAAGCAGATACTGCCAAAGCACTCCACCCCCTCAGTGTACCTCCTGAAACCTTGGCTGCATTAACCCAAACCATAACAAAGTCAGTCACGGAGAACGTGTTAGAAGAGATAAAACCATTGCTACAACATCAAGGGAGTATCTCTGTTCATAATATGGGTGGTGAAAGGGGTAATCATGCTACCACCTCTGCAAGCAACAGCTTAAAAGCTAGCCTTCCTGGGTTGGATGGTCACACAATGAATAAGTCAGGGGATGCAGGTATTTCAGGTTTGGTATCAAGTGTTGTAGTCGAACACAGTTCACAGATTATGGGTACTGAATTCCCACCTGTAAAAAATGCAGGTAAGAAATCGGGATTTGTGAGCTCCTCAGTGCTTCGGCTCCTCAGTGCCAATACAATCTCACAATCGATAAGCTATGACGTGTCAATCGATCAACTGTGACGCGACATCCTATGACATTGTGTTACAAAAAGACAGAGACAATAGGAAAATCAAATAAATTGTAATAAACATAACATTCATTATTTTGTAGTCGAATATAGAATTTATTTCACTCTTAATTAGGGCCCCGCAAGGATTTGCGGGTGCCCTATAGTAATCACTCTGTCTGTCTGTCTGTCTGTCTGTCCGTCTGTCTGTCCATCTGTCTGTCTGTCTGTCCGTCTGTCATTCTTCCGTCCACAAATTTTCTGTTTTTTTCTAATAACTTTTTTTGTAGTTGACCAGTTAAGTTCAAATTTGGTATGTTGGTTGAAGAGGCAGTAAGACATATTTTGATGCTAAGTTTGGTTCTCTATGTCATCCAGTTTGGAGCTGGGGTGGTGGGGTATATTCCTTAACTTTGCATTAGAATGAATGCCAGGGCAAAGAGAGATAACTGCTGAGAATGTTCCTAAATGTTCCTGTTGTAAACTATGAAAGCTGCAACTAGTCCCATGGGATTAATTAACTTTCCTCTTGAAGAAAATCTAAAGCATTATCTGTTTCTGTCAAATTGAGATTAATTAACACCTCTGTCTGCAAATGAAGTTTGTTTTGAAGTTAAGGTCAATTCTGAATGATGTTTACATTCTCTGAAATGTGGATTTAAATAATGTTCATACTTTATTTTGGTAAAATACACAAGTTATAATTTTATTGAATTCTAAAAACAAGATATTCATAAAGATATGTTTGTTTGTTTTTTTTTTAATTTTTTTTTGTTTTTATTTATTTATTTAATTTATTTATTAATTTATTCATTTTTTTTTTTGCTCCCTTATGTAAATATAAGAACACTATTAATTTTAACAGGTAGTCCGATAATAAACTCATTCTATCATTACTGCAAAAGTTCTTATTGTAAACTTGGAAGAAAAGGATGAGAGAGCAGTACAATTAATCCCCAGGGATTAATTATCTTGTCTGGGGCCGAAAATTTTCCAGGCTTATCTTTATTTGTCACTTTAAGATAAATTAAGCTTTGTCTGCAACTGATGTTTGTTTTGAAGTTAAGGTCAAGCCTGGGTGATATTTGCATTCACTGAAGGCTGGCTTTTATAAAACACATGCTTTATTCTTGTTTAAATATACATTTTAATAATTGAGTTATTATAGATATGATGTTTTTTTACTGCCTTACATGTAAATACAGGGATGTATGTAAATACAAGGATACTTTTTACAGGTTGTGGATATTTAGGAATTATCTTGAAATTTTATAAATACAGTTGTTATTGCATATTCTTCTTCATATATTTTTAAATTTTTGTATTAAAATTCTCATTCTGTAAGCTGCACCCTTATATTTCTACCCCTCGGCGGGGCCCTTGCTGACTGGTCAGTTTTCTAGTTTAGACAGGTTTTTAATATTTTCACTCGTAAAATATTTTAACAATAAGTGTATCCAAGTGTAAAACATGAATATCCTCTCTTTAAACAGTCAAGTGATTCGGGGCATGTTAGGGCAATATATCTTTGATCATTTCTACAATGCACTTCATAAAGTTCTGCAAATATGAACATCTCTATTAGCAGTCCTTCAAAATTTTCAGGTTATTATCAAATCTGAAGAGAAAAGCATTAATAATTCACGACTTTAAACCAAGGTGAAGTGTGCCGCCCCCGATCCTACGGTAGGGGAAGGTCTGAAGAGGAGAGACATCAACTTAGTCCGGGAATCATAGCAACAAGGAGGACTTTCTTTGAATCTTCACTAAAAGGAAGTATTGCAAGATGTACTTACAGGGTCGTAATTTTATTACTGTATATCTTTCAGAATTTTGATAGAAATAGAAGTTTTTCAAAATTAAAAAGGACCATTTTATATGAAGTTATCAAAGAGGTTCAATTGCTCAAATAGCCCAGTTTGTAGAATATCTGACTAGTGATTCAGGGGGACTGGATTCGGATCCCGGTCTATTCGGTCGCATTTTGTGTTTTTTCCTCTTACGTTTAGTGACGTTGCCATGCCCTGAAAGTGAGAGGCTTGCCAGAAGTTGCTTTGTTAGTGTCTTCATGTGTTAAGGCTTTTTAGGAGGGGAGAAATTTGGCGGTCAGGCTGATTCAATCGCTGTGGCCACATAGCTCAGTTGGTATTACCCTTTTACTACTGATTAAGGGGGCGTGGATCTTATCCTGGTCTTGTCCGTCACATTTATCTCCTTCCCTACACATGCAAATAATAAAAAGGAGCTTAAGAATGAAATTATTTTGCAAACATATAGTAGTTATTTTTATGAGTCAAAGTCTGCTAACTCAATTATTTAAATATCCCCGCACTTAAAATGTTAAATCTGAAATACATGGTAGACTAGACTTCTCTCATTATTTAAATGAAATATGATAAGACATTATTTGAATTCGACATTAAATAAAATAAGAATTATACAGTGCGATACGAAATATGATTTACTTTCTGTATGGTATTAGAAAAGAGGATATACAATTTCACAATAGATCATATATTGGCATTACCTTAAATTCTCTTTTAACATTCCATAAATTATTAAGAACAACAATTTAAAATGCCTTTTTTTATTAATACGGACATAGTAAATCAAGAAGTAATTATTCACACATTAATTTTAGATATCAGCTTTGTTTATATAAACTTCATTTTTGGTGATTGTTTGACCTTGACCGATGCAGGAAAAAGCAGCATTGATATGGTTTCATTAGAGCGGACCTCAGAATATAAGAATATTCCAAGATAGATTTAACTTTGTTAAACAAAAAAAATATTGATTAAAACAATAAATTCTGTATGTAGTGTCAGATCTTTGTTATTAAGCCATGTTGACTTATGCGTTTCTGATGATTTCAGCATCTCTGGAGTCTGTTGTTGTGTTGGCTGGTTGTTCCACATTGTCAGCAGGATTTACCCCAACAACATGGGAAGGTTCCGTGGCATACCGCATGTCAGCTGTAACAACAGGAAAAAAAATAATGAATTCAGTGTTAAGTGTGATATCAGAGTTCATGATTCGAAATCAAATAATTTAATCCATTGATTTTAATGGCAGTATTTATAAAAAAAAACGTATGGTAACGTTCCAAGATAAATCAATGTAAGTGTGCAATCCAAGGAAATTCGGATGTAGTTAGCGTACGTGTTTGTACGTAGGGTACTGTAGAATGTCCCATTATTCCAGGGTTCAGCACCTGTCCCGGCCTTCCTGGTCTTTTTACACCACAGTAGATGGCAACTCCAATCAAAACCCCCATTATGACAAGAAATCCTACCACCCCACCAACTATTGCTCCAGTATAAGTAGTCTTTCTGCAAGAGTTAGCAATTTTTTTTAAATTAAATTTTCTTCATTAACTTTACCACTTTTTTCACATTGTACACAAGTACTTAAACAATATGGTCTTTCTCCCCTCCCCCTCTTCCTCTCTCTTTGAGAGAGAGAGAGAGAGAGAGAGAGAGAGAGAGAGAGAGAGAGAGAGAGTTGATATGATGCTGATGTTGATGACAAATATGAAACGTTGGAAGAGGAGGTTGTGGATGTTCCTTACACAACTGTAGTAGTACTGTAGCTGGGTTTGTAGTAGTAACCACATGTTGAATACTGACAATAATCATCACACGTCGCCGTGTAGTAGGATAGTGATTGTTGGTAGGATCCGTAATAGGCACTGTAATAGTACGAATATTTCGGAAAGGAGCAATACACTAGTGACGAGACCTTGTCTACAAATCCTGAAAAAACAGTATCTTTTTTATACCCTCAGTTAACATATTGCATGCGTTTACATAATATTTTGACATTTGGATATCATAAAAATGCATGCTTATTCTATAAATATTGAGAAAAATACAATTTATGTAAGAATTATTATTATGATAATATACTTTTATTGATTTATTCAAAGATTACTTTCCTTTTCGAAAACTGATTTGAATTTGAGATAAAAAATGTTGATAAAAAATTAGCTGCTTACCTATAATAAAGGGTATGAAGATTAGCCACATTGTAACTTGTCTTGTTACAAGATCTCAATCCCCGATATCAACCAGATTTAAAAAAATAGTAATCCCTTTTCCTGTCTTGATAAGGAACACGTCAACGACACAATAGCTCTTTATTTACAATAATAGATGCATATTTATATATTAAATACAATGAATAACACAGGGAGCTGCATTAATGAGATATTAAAACACAGTATATACTACCCGCATGATTTCAAACTAAGGAAAAATATATAGTTCGAATGAAAGAACATCTTAAAGGGAAAGATTAAAATAAAAGAAAAGTAAACATGAATTAAAAACAATATGAATTGATTGACTTGTATCTGTAGTTTTGGTCATTCTCATATAACTCTTTAGTTTGTTTGTTGTCAGATCTCTAAAATCTGTTAATTGTAATTAATTTATTGAAATGATAATTTTAATTGCCTACTACAATGAACCAACAAAATTCCTATGATTGAAAATACTTACAGGTAGGCGGAATATGAAAGCATCCTCAGGATTTTTGTTCAAAGAATTGCTCTCTCAGGTTAAGAGTAGTCACATTGTTAGATCAACTTTAACACCAAAATACATCGGAAAAGAAAAATCTAAAAATCTTCTTTCTCAAGATCTTGATTTGTTATTTCAATACGCCAGTATCCTCAGGTATTTCAGGTTAACGTTGTTCAAATCGTGGTTACTGGTGGTAAGGTGCGGCCGTAAAAAGATCAAATTTTTACACGGGAATATAAAAGAATTTTTTTTTTAAATCTCACCTAAAACAGCAAGGACATGATACGCCATATTATTAATTAAGTACCTCCATTTTTGCAGATTCAGTTTTGCTCAAATGAGAACCGCTGGAGGTTCGTGGGCGTGCCAGTAGAGATCGAATTCTCTATGGAATTATATGGAAATAAACATTTTTTAAAGAAAAGCAGGGCTACACTAATTCATACTGATATACAAACATTCTCAAATTGTGTTGATTCATTTCTTTTAAAATCACCATTGTATTGACCATGGACTTTGGGTTGGAAGTTAAAGTCAGGGATTCAATTTTACAAAATAATTTAAATCTTCTTTAGTACAGAAAGGGCATGTTCGTCATCTTGAAATATTGATGCATGTTCTATAGATTCAGGTTTGGTTACAAATGATCCCTTTGCGCTAGGGTGAGGCCATATTATGCGGTCTGTTTTTTTAAAATCCGAATTAGTCGGGAAGGGCTCCTAAGAATCAATTCCTGAAGAACAGCAGGGCCGGAGTGACTAGCGAGTGTTGTAGCCAATAGGTCGCTTTTATTGCTTCTTCCAATATCAATTATAACACAATATGCAGTTTTCTTTAATAATGCTTTTCAAGATTTAAGTAAAGATGTTTTTTAGCAGAAAAGATATTGACCAAAATTTCCGACAGAAGTTTATTCTTTCACGAGGAATAATAGACTATTATTTAAAAAATACTTTTTCCAATTTAAACATTGTTCAGGTGGAATTGATGACAACTGCACCTTTAAGAAGAGCACAAAAGAGGAGGGGTGTATAAGTGTGTGTATTTACCCCTAAAACAAGGCCACTATATCATCAGTTGTAACACAATGACAGTATAAATTTAAATATTAAATTTATCAATTATGATTGTGAAATAATATTCACTTTATTTTCATAAATGTATTTATCTTATATTCTTATGAAGATTATGTTTATGATCTGTTGATACTTAAGTGCGCTTTCATCCTAAGACACTAATTGGTAATGGACACTACTACCGTATACTAATTATCTATTACACGCTGAGAGGGTCAGGAATAGAAACTAATGTGTACTTCTAATTAATCGGACAATGTGCAAGAATGCGCTGACCACTCTACTGACCAGCATCTGGTAACGATATGATATCTCCTACGCATCTAGTGGGCTGGACATAGATCACACATGATCCTCTCCGATATGGAAATGACAATAACATGCTAATTAAAACTACCCTAAGAACGCTTTGGTGGGAGGAATAATGAAGATGAACTAAATATTCATTAAGATGTGATCTGATTCCTGTTTCCAAATATGTGACACTCGTTTGTACCCTCTAGTATAAAACCTGGTGCTCACTTGGTATCAGCAGCCTTTCAACATCCTGGATCCGGAAGCCTTTTACCATCCTTGGCTCCGAGACCTTTGAAGAACGCTTGTTGTTTAGAGAGACTTTAAGTGCCTTTTGACTTTGATCTAAACCTTTGTTTGTTTACTTACCATTTTGGATTGAAACTTTACCAGTCTTCTTAATCACGAGTAGTGTCACACAGTTTTATATTTGGAGATCACGAATTCGGTGAAATTCTATTCAAAGGTTTTGCTGACTGAAAAATAGATAACCTTGCAATTACATACTTGAAGAAGCATCAGGTTTTTTCTCCTCAACTGATTCAGAGTTTTAAAACTGAATTTCTGGAAATAAAAAAAAAATGTTTTTGGGATGCAATAGTATTGAAATGGCTGTTCATGAGCAATAATTATTTAACATAATAATATATTTTTTTTTAGTTTTAAAAATAATTGTTTAAATGACTATTCATAATACATTGTGTACATTGTCATAAAAGGAATTTTTATTTATCTATAACATCCGGACTTTTGAAAGAAAGTTTGTGTACATTGTTGTATCACGTCCGTGTGTTGTATGTACATTGTTGTATCACGGCCTTTTGTTGTGTGTCCAACCATCAAATTTTCCCAGTGTAACTTTCCAACTCTCATTGTTAGAAGAAGCCGAAAGTATTATAAGCATGTAATTATCTGATTCCTGTTTACATACATACATACATACATACATACATACATACATACATACATACATACATACATACATATATATATATATATATATATATATATATATATATATATATATATATATATATATATATATATATATATATATATATATATATATATATATATATATATATATATATATATATATACATACATACATACATACATACATACATACATACATACATACATACATATATATATATATATATATATATATATATATATATATATATATATATATATATATATATATATATATATATATATATATATATATATATATATATATATATATTTGCAAATGTTTTCTTTTATATAACACTAAAAGCAATGCGTATATATAGGATCTCCCATGATTTGTAGTTGGATATGATTTTTATCCAACGAGTTGTGTGTTCTTTATCCCCGAGCCTTGGCGAGGGGATAAAAACACACAACGAGTTGGATAAAAGTCATATCCAACTACAAATCATGGGAGATTCTTTTTATCCCATGTTTAATACTTCACAACCAATGTTTTTCACTGTTTTATATAGGACTCCACTTTATTCTACTTATCACTCTAACGCAAAAACCATTGTGACGTCACAACTGTACTTAACTGTGGTTTATGAAAAAAATATCCAATGAGTCATATCCACGGGATAAAGGGGTAAACATGGGATAAATATATATATATATCCGTATAAACACATGTTCCTTGCGTCATCAACGTTTGATGTAATTTCACAGTGACGTCATAAAGGGTCGACGCGCAATCAATGGTCAAATACGTGCCATTGAGTTTGAAAAATTCGTGCGTTAAAGATTATAACAGGGAAATTCAAAATACGAATAAGTCATAAATGTAAATATAAGTAATAATGTATCATTTTTAAACTTCTATCGGGATATAAATACAGGTTGGTATGAGATCAAATTTACCATAAAACCCTTCGGGCTCTATGGAGTTTGATCTCGTGACAAACCCGTATTTATATCCCGATAGATGTTTTAAAACGATACTTTATTTCTTATAATTTCTTATAATCTCGTGACAAACCCGTATTTATATCCCGATAGATGGTTAAAAGTGATATATTATTTCCGCGAAGCGGTTTATAAAAAAGCGTTAACAGTTCAAACCCACTTTATACCGTATAAATTGCGTAGCTATTAATTTCATTCCTTATAATTCAATTTTCATTCATTTTGTGTAAGAAAAAAGGATGATTGCCCTTAAAAATGATTCAGATTGTACAAAATTCAAACGTCAGGCGGATCGATATGTTTTTGACGCAAGTCATTGTGACTTAGGTAATATCTGATTTATACGATATAAAGTAATTTCTCCAATCAAATACTGCGTTATAACCAGAATTAAATTACTCCTTGTTAAAGAAGACGCCTCCGGTTCTATTACACATATACCACCCTTCTGACAACGCACGAAACACCAATCTCCTATGCAGAGTTGTCGTTCGTTCCTCTCTCAGACACCTGTGCAATGGGCTCGCGTCAAGATTTTTGACGTAACGTAAACAACATAACATTTAAAGGGTAATTTCAAATTAAACTAATAGTTTTATATTTATTTAGTAAATATCTATCTTTAAGGACTATCATTAGATCAGACATTTAATTATAATGAATTAAAAGAAACGCACTATTTCTCGTGTTTATCACTGTGATATACGCGAGCCAACGACAGAGGTGAATGTATGAGTAGATGGTAGAGAGTGACGAAACACGTGGTCCAGTCATGCGACATGCTCCGTAGCGTACTGTTCACGACAGCCCAAAGATTTCCCGGTCTTATATTTCATACCACACAGATTTTTCTACTATTAAGAATAGCCCATGTGTCAAAAGTTGCCAAATCTCGGTCATAGGATGGGTGGATTGGTATTTCTTTTTCAAGTGTGAGCTAGGTGTCCATCACAACCCGACACCTCTGTCTTGGATGGGTCGTGTATCCACTGTGGATTAATTGTGGGTTCTTTTTCTTTATCATATCTGACCTGCTAAGAGTCTAAAGTCACTGAAATTCTATGAGATTAGGAATTATTTTATTGTTAATATATTCAACTATGTTTTTAACATTGACTCTGCCATTTTTTATTACAAATTAAAGTTCAACGAAAGAACAACTCTTTTCCAACTCACTTCCACTGAGCACCCAGAACAAACATCATTTCAAATCATCTCCCTTTCTACGTTACAACAATCCAACCAGACTTACATAAAGC